GGGGAATTTTTTATTTTCTCAGAATAATATGCAAATTAAGCATTATTTTTTATTGGTTATAATAAAATTTTTCCGAAATAAATTTTTATTTATTTAAATTTAATACATTAATAATAATAATATATGAGAATTTTATGTATATATTAATATAAAAATTCATATTTTATTACCATATTTTTATTTTGTTTTTAAATATTTTTGTTTAATTATTACTCTACATTATCGAAAAATTTAATAAAAACTTAAATTTTTAACTAATTTTTAAATAAAATTCTTAATTTATTATCAGGATTTTTATGTGGAAATATGAAATTTTTACATATTTAGCTTAATTATATAGTTATGAGAATAATTGACATAAACGATTTTATATATAATAATTCTCAATTTGATAACTCTTCTACATTCATCTATCAAATATTAGGATCGTTTCATAGCTTTTCTGTGGTCACTGATCATTCTACTGTAAATATTTTTCTTTATTCCATAAATGATTGGATGTAATTGTTTTCATATAAGAAATTTCGTTATTTAACAATGGACCATAAAATTTAATTTAAATTAATATATACATGAAAATAGATTTGTGATCTTTTCGATAAGTTCTTTATTCAAACTTACTTATTTTTAAACAATTTTTAATTGAATAATTTGTTTCTTAAGTGATTCATCTATTCATAAATAGTAAGGAAAATACATAGGATCAATAGGATTGAGAAACATATGCTTGGATCCTATGGGAATCGAACCCATGACTTTTTGGGAAATGATCATAAATTCGATTTATCTTGAGACTGGACATTATTTTCTATTTTTTGTATTAAGTTAAACGTAGGTTCGGATCATTGCATGTAATTTATAACTTAAAACTTGTACCTTTTGTGCCATTTGTTTACTGGGTAGTTATCGATGAATTAATTAAATTCAATATTATAAAAGCAGTTCGTTTATAATTTTATTTTCTAATTCAAATTACTCAACTTAAAATTAATTTAAAAGTTAGACTTGAATTCTATGTGAATAGAACCCGTGACTTTTGGTGTAGTCTATACGATCACAGGTTTTTACTTAGCCTATATCAAGTCCAAACATTTTCTATTTTTGGCAGAAAATTGTCTATAAGAGGTGGGTTCGACCACATTCGCGCACTTCAGACTTAATTTTAATATATTAATTGATAATATTAAGATAAATTACTGAATTATTTCAAAATTCAGAATAATCGAACGGCTTGTAATTCAAATAGCTAAACTTTCTGACATTTGACGAATTATTTACTTGAATGTACGTTGTTGGCCAGACAGCAACACATAAATTTTCATTTTCCTTAAGGAATCTTGGATAGAATTTCATGATTCGCATTCTTTTATATCTTTTTTCCAAAAAATCTACTCATTGATTTCTAGTTTTTATTTAGTCAAAGTATTCTTCCAAATTTTTCTAATAAAATTTAATTCGTTAGATACTTTAAAGCCTGAATACAACTCAACAAAAGTCTTTTATAATGAATATTTTTTTAAAAATTATTCAATTCTTAAATTTATTACTTAGTTTTATTTATTTCTTATTTTTTAATTTGTATAAATTATTAAATATCTTATGAATTTTAAGCAAATCTCTAAGGAAATTAATTGGAATCATTCAGAAAGTCAATGTTGATAATTGTCAATGAATGCTCCAAGGCATCAAATATAATCAATAGAATTAGCGTATGTAAATATATTTGTACAAAGTAGACTATAATGGATTATTCTCTGCTATATAAATAATTACAAAACAAATTTCTTTGATAATAATTTTATTAAAATATAATGCATAAAACATAATAATAATTAAATGATATCAATCAAAACTAAAGAAATTTTTTAAATCTTCCTTTACAGAAATAAATTAGAGTTAATTTGAAAAATAAAGGAATTTTTTCTTTTAAAACTTATTAAAAATTTAAATAATTCTCTAGAAATTTAGAAAATAAAAAACTTTATATAAAGTAAATGATACTGTAAACAACAATTAAAATCTCGCATTCTAATTAAATTAATTTAAAATATATTATTCTGCTTTATTTTTATTAATGATAGAAGTTTTAATTATAACTTTAAAATTTTTTAATAATATATTTTATCTTAAATTTATTATTAATATTATAAATATTTCGTTTTAATGCGTTATATACATAATAAGGTTAATGAGTTTATATTTAGAAATTTCATAAAAAATTGCATTAAAATTGAAATTTTAAATTTTATGTTATTTTTTAAGTTTTAAAAATATTTTTACATTTATTTATAATTTTTTCAACTTAAAAAATATAATTTATTTACTACTACTCTATTGCGACTTTCTAAATTAATTTTTATATTTATTA